CCCGCCACAAACCTGTTCATGTTGTAAATGCGCGTTCATTGAACACCCACTCAATGCGTTCACTACCTGAACGCTGAACCCGCTTTCAATGAACGTGGGTTACACAGCACCCAACAACCGTTCCGTGCTCTCCTCCAAACCCCTCCCTGAAAATGTACACCCTTCACGTTACTGTTTTGGTCCTATAGAGGACTGGTAGACCCAACTATGAAAAACCTGCCTCGAACATATAAACACATCCCCTATGGGCTGTGAATAACCTCTAGGCCAGTAGGACTTGGGTCCAGGGTCGAATCAAGGACCCCAAAGCTCCAGATGTCAAGGCCTTAAACCACCAGTACTTGGGCACTGCGCGCGGCGCCGGCCGCACCTTTTTTGAAGCGGCGCGGGCTGTCGATACGATTTATCTACGGCCCGCCGGTAGCAAAATTCTCGTAGCGTTAACGCTAAGGCGTCGCCCAAGTACTGGTGGTTTAAGAAATTGTCTGCCGCAGGGGAGCAGGGAACGCAGCCCTAAGGGGTGATGCTTTTTGTTTGAAGAGAGAGAGAGAGAGAGAGAGAGAGAGAGAGAGAGAGAGAGAGAGAGAGAGAGAGAGAGAGGCATGGACATAATTCAGAACCCAACAGCTCAACAGCTCAGCGTTGAGCAGGTGAGAAACATAATATTAAACTGAGCAGGTGAGGCGGGGCTGTATTGTGCAGGGGAGTCTGCCATAACAAAATCTATGAATGTCATCTCCCCTTGACGACATGCATAAATATCAAAATCCTTGCCGACATTCAGATGTTATTCATGGATGTTCATGCATGACTGAACTGAAAAGAGCACAAAAGATTGCACAACCATCTGTGTCTTGTGAATTCTTTAATCACAGCCGTGCCCAGCAAGCACATAGTCATTCATCGGTTTCGACGCATAGTAGGTCTCTACAACACCCTGGAAGAAGAAGAAGAAGATAAGAAGAAGAAGAAGAAAAGAACTAAACTGAGCAGTTGAAGGAGGGGAGGGGTGCATGCGGAAAGGGTGTTGGGGGGAGGCCTAGCCCCCCTCCCCCTCACAACATTGTCTCCCGTCATTCCTCCTTGGAAGGGGATTGGAATAGAAACAACACAAGAGATGCTGAACAGAATAGTTTCCCCCGCCACAACAACATCTTCTCATGTCATCTTCCCTTGCTGTAATGTGCTAGTATGTATGCATGTATTGGTGGGATGACTAACTTGCTCTCCTGTGCCTCACAAGCATCCCTCAGCATGCAAGACTACACAACAGCCTACGGGCTGTGTACCCGTGCACGATGCAATACGTCTTTGGGAGCGAGCGCGGATGCCATCCACTCCCAGGTGAATGTGAATTAGCGACAGCCCCCTATGTTCATGCCACGAAATGGACCTAGTTGCGATGAGGTTTCTTCTTCGACAGCGCTGACATAGCACCTCCAGTGGGGTCTCCCCTGTAGTTTCCAGCCATGTGCGTTCTGTCCCGCAGCGGTGCAGCCATTGCAACCCTGCCATCTGCGTTCTGCCGCAGGCAGCCAGTGCAACCGTGCCATTTGTGTTCTGTCACGCCCATTCAAGCCAACAAATTGGAAGCAATAAAGGCCACTTCTGGAGGCATTTCGACAACTTTTTTTTTTTTTTTTTTTTTTTGGACAACTCTTACCACTACGGTAGTGGGCCCCCCCTTTTTATTTATTTATTTATTTATTTATTTTTTAGTTGACAACTTGACGTCTTGAAATAAGGAAAAAAAAGCGAGAAGAGAAGGACAGCTCTTACCAGTGGGAACGGGAATGGGAAAAGGTGGGCCCCCCTTGGTTGTTATTCACCCACCTGCCATTGGGCTTTGTGACAAAAACTGTGTGCACGGCCAGTGCTGCCCGACCTGTTACCTGCTTGATGCTACTGGTATAAAAAAAAAAACACAGAAAAAAAAAAGAAAAAAGAAAAAAGGCGCTACTGGTATCGCAGTCCCAGGGCGAGGCCTCACTTATAAGTTCTAACCCCGATTCTTCATTTCTGACCGCAGATTAACGGTTGCAAGCGAAGGATCCGTGTGAGGAAGTGGGACCTTGCCAATTTGACCAGGTCCCACTTGGATGGATTCTTCACTCTTCTTCGCTATCGTTCCCTCAGCCGTATTTAGGGCGGTGCCACAACACTCGCCGAACTCGAGTTTTGGTGAGGTGAGGGTCGCCACACCATCTCAACTTTTCTTTCTTGTCGGAGTTTTGGATCTGACGCTGGACCTGGTTTCCAGCAGGTGCAGCTCCCCACCGATAGATTGGAGCCATCTTCTACGGGGGTCCTATT